AAATGCTTCTTAACTTGACTTGCTAAGTGCTGGAGATACAAGGATAAAAACAAAAAACAATCCATGCCTTTAAGGAGTTTGCAGTCTATTAAGGGGAAATAAGAGGAACATAAATTTTAAAACACAAAGAAAATAAAAAGATTTTTGGGATGGGAGGGTACCAGCAACTGAAGGAATATGGATAAGCTTTGTGTAGGTGGCACCTTGAGCTGGGCCTTGAAATAAGCTAAGGATTCTAAGAGGCAGAGGTGAGGAAGAATGCATTCCTGACAGGGTGAACAGCATGTGCAAAAGTATGGAGGTAGGAAATTAAATGTCACATATTTTAGCAAGAAGGCTAAGTTCTCCTAGAACGCAGAAAGTGTGTGAAGGGGAAGTCATGGGCAGTGAGCTTAGGAAGATAACCTGGAGCCCGATTGTAAAGGGCTTTAAACGTTTAACAGAGGAATTTATGTTTTGTTGCTATGGGCACTACTTTACCCTCTATGCCCTCTTCATTTCTTTTCGGTCTTTGTGAGTTGCTGAGGCAAAAAAGCAAAAGATTATCCTCTGATAGGCAGGCTTCTGGATCCAAGTCTGTCCACATTCAGCTAGACCGATCCTCACATGACAGACAGGTAGTCAGTCCATTGCCAGGATCACATATGAACCCTTCCACACCAATGGGCCCTGCCAAGGCTTGGGCTCTCCTGCCTTTGAGAAGCCAAGGTCAGCCTCGTGCCAATATAATAATACTAACAATAACAACAATAGCTAACATTTATATAGTGCTTTAAGATTTTCAAAGAGTTTCACACATATTGTCTCACTGATAATAAGAGCTAGCATTTATATAGCACTTACTATGTGTCAGGCACTTTACAAATATTTTCTCATTTGATCCTCATGACAGCCACATTATACCATTTTACAGTCGAGGGAAACTGAGGTTAAGTGACTTGCCCAAGGTCCTGATTTGAATTCAGGTCTTCCTGATTCCAGGCCCAGCACCCTACTGTCTGTGCCACCTAACTGCCCCTTCCCCTTTGATGAGGCCCTGGAGTAGAATGTTAGTAAGGCATCTTAAATTCACTGAATTCAAAACTAAATTCATTTGCTTCCACCCAAAGGATCTCCCTTCTAAACTCTGACATTTATCAATGGTACCACAAATCTTTTTAGCTGTGATAAAGCCTTCCAAACTCATACTGGACTGATCAGCCACAGTAGAACACATTGTACCATGACCCCAACATCATGATGTCATCAGTCTTCTTCTAGTACAAAGGATGAACACCACCTAGTTTCCCAAGATGGAAACCCAGTATTCATCTTTGAGTCTTGTACCAGAATTTCTGAAATAGCCTGCTAACTGATCTGCCTATCTGCATTCACCTTTTTCCAATCAATCTTTTGGTCTTCTTCAGTCAGTCTATTCTTCTGAAAATGCCCATTTCTGTATGTCTTTTCCCACCAATTTGTGATGGCTCCCTAGTGTCCACCACTTCAAAACCCCTCCATAATCTGACTCAACATCCCCCATCCAATCCGGCTGGTCTCCTAATCACTTGAACAACAGACTTCCAAGACTGAGGAAAGTGTTTATTAAATAGACAAGATACTGGGGCAGCTAGGTGGCGCGTGGGTACAGCACCAGCCCTGAAGTCAGGAGGACCTGAGTTCAAATATGGCCTCAGACCAAACACATAACACTTACTAGCTGTGTGGCCCTGGGGAGGTCACTTAACCCCAATTGCCTAAAAATAAATAGTCAAGGTAATAAAGAGATGTGAGCTGTTACTCCTTGTTTTGTTTCAAACTTAGTGCCAAGCTCATTGTGGGAGTTCCATAAATCCTTGTTGGTTGATTGGGTCAAGGGGTTTCCAGGCCATTTATGTAGATTGGAGGAAGAATGACCTCCTAAAAGATGGTCAAATGAGCTACTAAATGTTTTCTCCTCATTGTTAGTTTACTTTATTCCCACCTAATGATCAGAACCCCAGGATTATGCCTCTTCTCAAACCTAGCCCAGTAGGACCTTCCTGCTTACTGTTCTACCCATACGTTGGTCACAACAAAGGGCTTCCATCATCTTAGATCCCAAATTGCCCTAGGTACCAGGAATGTGGAGCAAAGGAGTTCCTCCAGAGTGAAGGGAGATAATCACTACTACCAGCTGAAGGCTCAGAGACTGATCTGGGCAAGTCACCATTACTCTCGCAGAAGTGGAATTATAGGGATATGCTGGGAAGTGTTTAACAACCAGCTCTCCAAAAATACAAGATACACGTTTAAATTTCATTTGCATTATTAATATTTTCTCCATCGCTTTCTCATATCTAGACAACTAACAAACCAAGAAATCAAACCCTGGTTTGCAGTCTTCACCTATTTCCAAGTTAGAATGCTCAGAACGATAATTTAATTGGCTCCAGACCAGCCCCAAACCCCAAGGCTCCTGACTCACCCCCCTGCCATTGTTCTCTCCACCACAGGACTTGCCCCAGATTACAGGAAGCCCTGGGGTGGTCCACAGGATCCACTGGGATCTGGGTTCTTTGCCTTCCTACACAGTGTTAACAACCAAGGAAGAGCCCAGGAAAAAGAGGGAAGTGGGTGTCAGTCAGCCGTCAGGCATTTCTTAAACACTTACTACGTGCCCCACGGGCAGCATGCGCCTGTGTGGCCACTACTTTCTCAGTTTAGACAATGGACAAAACAATAAATCAAACCCTGGTTTGCCTTTGTTTGCCTTTGCAAAGGCAAAGGCAAAGAATAAGGAATGTGAAGAAAGGCAAAATCCATACCTGCCCTCAGCAAGCTGGAAGTCTAATGAGTAATATAAGATGCAAGCAACTATGTACATACATAGAGGAAATGGGAGATAAACTCAGAGGGAAGGTGCTAGCAGTGGTGGGCACTGGGCCAGGCCCCTTGCAGAAGGTGGGATTAGAACTGTCTTGAGTATCATTGGAGCCACTATATGGGGCGAATGGGTGTTCAGGGAAGACTAGCACCTCTGGTGTGAGAGCAGCTCATCCATCGCTGGTGTCCGTCTGTCACCCAACTCTCTCATCTGTGGTTCCAAAAAGCTGTAGCATGTGCAGTGGCCACACCCTAATAAAACCATATCAACAGATGGGCTAAACCAGGTTGAGGGTAACCTAACAGAAAAGCCTACCCCAAGCAAGTGAAGCTTTGCCCTTGTGGAATGGGCAGATGAGAACAATGCATTCCAATGACCATCAAGGCAGCTGAAGCACACAACGTGTGGAGTGCTTAGAGCTCGGTCGGACATTAAAGATGCCAAGGTCATCCGCTGCGTCAAGGGCCATCGCCAGTTGTCTTGCCGCTAGACGTTGATGACTCTGGAAGACAGAGCGCAGCTGATGACTTTGTGCAGCTCTGCCTCACTTCAATCCAATTTATGCATAAGTCCAGACATCACCCCTCAATGTCATTGGTCCTCTTTGATAATGAAGAACCAACTCCAACAATAACAACATTCACTGTGTGATCCATGTGCCAGGATTCGGAGGCCACTGCTCTCAGGGTCAATTGAGGGAGAAAGGTAGGAAGGAAGAACCAAGGGAAAGGTTAGGGAGCAAGGAATCTCCACTAAGTGATCTAGCATGGGGTGTAAACTGAGGCAGACTATTGTAGAGAGGACCTGTTTTCCTTGGGAATGGCATCCCTGTGCAGAACACAGCAAGTGATGATGTTGCCCCATCACGCCCAGGATCTGGCTGGAGGCGACTGTTTACAACACACCCTCCTGAAACGGGAGACGCGGGAAACTTCTAGGAGGGTGTCAGAAGAAAGAGGAAAAGAAAATGGATGAAGAGCCAGGAAGCTAATGGCCCTTCACCCTTCCCTGGGGTTCTATGGCCTGATGATGGAATAGCTCAGGGAGTGAAGAGAGAGCGGATTCACTAACCTGTTTATCCTGTCCTATTCCTTACAGTGCCAACCTCCATTCCTCAGAAGTTGGAGAACTGGTATTTTAGGAAACTGGTGGCAAGAGGCATTCGTCTTTACTGTCATGTGCCTTGGTTTTGTTGTATGCCACAGGATTAATTCTGGCTATTTGTGGAGAGATTCAGAGGAAAATGGGCTCATGGGAAGTGATCAAATAGATGACAAATCTGAACAACTTGTAGGAATATGAACATGGCCATGGGTGCCGGGTCATTTAAGAAAAGCTTTCCTAATGATAAGCAACTGGTATTATCTAAACTGGTCATCATCTCAAGGCTAGAGGGGGAAGGTCTTGTGTTCCTGTCATGTCATGTCAGTCTCTGCGCCTTGAGATGGCATCTACTAACTAAAGATGTCCAAGGGTTGAAGCTGGAAAATTTCTTGTTTGTCCGAAGCCAGAAAGTGGGGGCAAAAAAAATGCAGATAGCAAAGTGCAGCCAGCTCAGGGTGGAGTGGTACCTTCAGATTCAGCCTCCCATCGCTTGCCTATAAATTCTCTATTTCCTAAGAGCATCCCTACTTCAAGGGTCAAAGCCTCCATCATCCAAGAAAGGACGTCCCCTCTTCTCTGCACCTTGTCCAAGCAACACACCCACCTGCTTGAAGACTGGGAGAAGAAGATGGCGGTCATTCTGAACAAAGAGTATTTTCTACAAAGGAGGTGCATTCCACCAACCTGCCCACTCTGCCTCAATCTCAGCAGCTCTGTATTTTCAGCCTACCATCTAACCAGGCTGGGGCAGAATTGGTCAGATAAAGAAGGACCAAAATACTTTGGAAACAACAGCCCTTAAAAGGGCCCTGCTGCACACTTCGGGGATTTCTCATCTCATGGCTTGCCTTCTGACATGATGCAGTGGTTTGGCGGGTCCTGATGCAACAAGTTATTTTTAACTCGGTCCAAAGAAATCGGGTTTTTTGGAGGGTTAAGCGTGGAAGAAAGACAAACCGTTCTTGTTTTCACATAATCAGGGCAGAAAAAAAACCATTTCACTTTCTTTGAAGTTTATTATCTCCATGCAACTGGATTGGGATCTCTCATTCTGCCACCACAACCCCCACTGTGCTAACCACAAGGCCCCAACACTCCGGGCTTGCTCTAGGACAGCGTAGAGAAGCAAGTTATTTTAGAAGTTGCAAGCTATCATTTCAGCTGTTTGGAGGAAACAGTGTGCTCCAGCCCCCGTCAAGGTTAGCTGCAAAGTTAGTTCCGATTATTCTGAGTAGCAAACAGCTTTCCTGCTTGAGCACAGGCCATTCTGCGTGTCACTTCGTAGTTCTGGGCTTGTGTCCAGGTTTGGCCACTTTCCAACTGGGCGATTGTGAGCAAATCACTTCTGCCTCTGAACCTCAGTTTCCTCATCTGCAAAACGAAGGGAAGAAGGTCGGACTAATCTATCTCTAAACCTTCTTCTGGCTATGACAGTATGTTCCATGTCTTAAGGTCTCTTCCAATACGAATTCCTTTTGTACACATTAGGAGATTAATAAGTGTCTGTTGTTGAATGATATAGGGTGTCCCAAAAGTCCTAGTGCAGTTTCAATCTCTAATAACTTGAAGTTTTTAACAATTTAATAGCTTTAATCACTAATAGTCTTAAGCTTTAAATACTTAAAATGACATAATTATTATTACGCATAATTGTATAATTATTAAAATAGATTTAACTCTTTAAAGCTTACACAATGCTTTATAAGCATTATCTTATTTGAGCCTCCTAGCAACCTTGGGAGGTAGGCACTCCTAGGATTATTACCTTTCTTGTACAGATGAGCAAACTGAGGTTCATAATTTTTAAGCAGTTTGGCCATGCTCACAAGATAATCAAATAATGACGACGACAAAAATGACAATAATAATAATCACTAGCATTTGTAAAGTACTTTAAGGTTTGCAAAGCACTTCATGAGGTATCTCATTTGATCCCCAAACAACTCTGTGAGGTAGGTACCATTCTTATCCCATTTTACAGATGAGAAAACTGAGTCATTCAGCCAGTGAGTGTCAGAAGCAGAATTTGAACTCATCTCCAGCACTCTATAGCTTCTGTACCACCTAGTAGTCTCAACTTACATAGATGGTAAGTGAATCTAGGCTTTCCAGATCCAGATCCTTCTGTATTCCTCCTGTTCCATGTTGCCTCTGTGCCAGAGTGTTGGGATCTGTGAAATAAGAAAGAGGAAGGGACACATCTCCTTTTGGCCCTAAGGAATATTTACATGGAGGACACAGAACTGCACTGACTAGTTGGATAAAAATAAACAAATAGGGGCAGCTAGGTGGTGCAGTGGATACAGCACCAGCCCTGGAGTCAGGAGAACTTGAGTTCAAATCCAGCCTCAGACACATAACACCTACTAGCTGTGTGACTCTGGGCAAGTCACTTAACCCTATTTGCATCACCAAAAAAAAAAACAAAACCCAAAAACAAAATAAATAAGTAAAATAAATAAAAATAAATCAATAGATGAGAGTGAAGAATTCTGCTTAAAAGCAGGAAAAAATAATAATAAAATCTAGCATTATCAAGTTGCTAGACACTTGTAATGGAAAGACTCCCAGATTTGGAATCAAAAGACCTGACTGTGGAATCACTGTGTGATCTGAAACCTCACTTTACCTGCATTTCCTAAGAGGCATTCCATAGAGTGAAAGGAGTCAGACGAGAGCTGGGTTCAAATTCCTGTAACAGCCTTGTACTTGTACAACCTGGAGCAAAACATCATTTATCCTCTCAGGGCCTCAGCCTCCTCATCTGTAAAAGGAGGAATGAGGCAGCTAGGTGGCATAGCAGATAGAGGGCCAGGCTTGGAGTCGGGAAGACCTGAGTTCCAATCTGGCCTCAGACACTTACTAGCTGAGCCACCCTGGGCAAGTCACTTCAGCCTGTTTGCCTCAGTTTCCTCATCTGTAAAATGAGCTGGAGAGGGAAACGGCAAACTGCTATAGTATCTCTGCCAAGAAAACCCCAAATGAGGTCACGAAGAAGCAGGCAGGACTGAAATGACTCAATAATAACAACAACAACATGAGGGCGTGACACCGTCGAGGTTCTTCACTTCTTTCTCTGAATATTTTGATAACCGTATCAGTATAGTGGGTTTCCTTGGTAATCCTATGTATTGTTTAAATGCATTCAAATGGGATTCTGAACCGGGGTCCTTTCATAGGCTTCCCCAGGCTGACTGACCAAGGGGGTCCAGGACACAACGCATGTTAGGAGCCCTTTGGTGAGGGTCTCTCAGCTGCTCCCAAGCTCTAACATCCAATGAGCCATGTATTTCAGAACAAGAATAGCCCTCCCCCAATTCACAGAATGGCTGTAAGCAAAAAGTCTGCTAGTGGACTTCAGAAGCCCTTCATAAGTTCGGATCATGGTGACACCCTTTGTCCCCCCCACCCAACATCCCTCCCCATTTACCAGGGCCCTCCCCAGCCCCCCAGCCCCAATGCAACACAGGCTTAACAAAATAGGGGAAATCATCTAGCTAGCCTACAGTTGTCCCCCAGCCAGGCTACAAAGGGTTAAGCTGCCGCTAGGTCAGACTGGAAATAGGATGACAGTAAATAACTTTTGGCTGCTCTGCTGCTTCTGTGATAAATTTAGATGCAACTTATAAACTTTGCAATTAAAATAATGTCCCTTATCCCTGAGACAGGACTCCTTATCAGATCAGGTCCTTCCCTCTCCCTGCCCCCACCTTCCCCCCCACCCCCCGGCAGCTGCCTTCCTCTGGGCTCACACTTTGAATTGACTTCAGCAACCCTGCCTCCCCCAACTGTTTTCCTCTGAAGCACCAGAGGACAAATGGCAGAGCCCTGCACAACCCTAGAATCCAGTATCCTTGGAGAGCATCTACTCCAGGGGTTCTTAACCTGGGGGCTGTGACCTTTAAAACAAGTTTGATAGCTATACTTCAATATCATTGATTTCCTTTATAATCCTATGTATTTTTATTTAATGCATTTTAAAACATTCTGAGAAGGGGTCCAAAGACTTTCCCCAGATCGTCACATGGGTCAAGGATACAGGAAAGATCAAGAACCCTGATCTAGACCAACAATTTCATTTTACAGATCAGGAAACTGAGGCATAAAGAAGCTAAGCAACTTGCCCAAAGCCTCACAAGCATTGCACGGTAAAGCCTAGGATTCAGATCCAGGCTCCTCATCTGCAGACTCGATGCCAGTGTTAGTCGGTTAATCAACACTTATTAAGTGCCTACTATTTGCCTGGCACTGTGCTAAGCACTGGGCACTTTCCGCTAAGCAACACTGCTGTTCACTGCTTTTGTGACCTCAGTTTCCATTCCTAGAGTCATAGAACTGTGGGCCCTCAGAGATCAGCTGGCTTAAATACCTTCATTTCAGAGAAGATACTCCTTGCAGCGCTGGTTGTGATGCGGACTGAATGGACTGAATGGCAACCGTCTTCTGCCTGTTCGATGCTTTGGGCCCAGATCAAGTTTCATCCTCTTCAGGAAACTCCCCCTGACCTTTCGACCCAGGGCTGTTGACTCAGGATTGTCAAAAATGCATTGTGAGCATTTACACCTCAAAGACAACAAATTCGGGGCTGGATTTATTGGTTCATTGATTGTCTAGTGTCTGACTCCAAGCCTGCAAAATTTGAGAGAGTGCTGCCTAAATCAGATTAAAATGTAATTTGGAAATGTTTAACAAAATAAATTAAAATAGAATGTAGATAATATTAATTTATGCTTTTCTAAATCAATTATATGGCCCAACAGCTCCATTTCTATTTGAGTGTGACATCACTTAAAGAAAGTGATGGATAAAATGTTAATAACACCAATTAAACTTAAAAGTGTACCTTGCTACATTTCACCCTTCCACCCACCAACCCCAGAACTGGTTGTTAAACATTTAGAAGCACACCCTTGCCTAGTCTTACCCATCTTGACACTTCTGCCTTCCCTCAATCCCTTTAGTACTAAATTAGCTGTAGAAAGGTTGGACTTGATGGTTTCTGAGGTCCCCTCCAGCTGTAGGTTTATGGGCCTATGATCCTATAAACACTACTAAATTGTAAGCCCCCTGCGCTTGCATGCACCCTTCCTATCAACCTATCTTTGTTTCCCTACTGCTGAACCCAATGCCTGGCATATGGTCAGCACTGAATGTTTGTTGGACTTATTTATGATCTGACATTGTTGTCTGATTGTTTTAGGAGTGTGTGTTTCTCATCTCTCCAACCAGACTCCTCCAGCTGTTGTCTCTCCAGAGCCAGGACTGGCTGCATGAGGTCAGAGCTGGGAGGGCCATTACTTAGAACATAGAACCCCAGGTCTGGAAGGGATCCAGGAGACATCTAATCCAGCCTCCTCATTGTGTTCATTGTGGACTCAGAAAAGGACCTGCATTCACAAAGATCATCGAGCTGGGTAGTGGCAAAGCTGAGACCAAAACTCAGGTCTCTCGATTTCTAGTTTGATGCTGTTTCCACTACATTTCCCCTACCTATCTCTTATCAATAGATTGAGCTGACAAGTCACTTACTTAGAAACAAATTACGAAGATGCTTTTCTGACCAGTGTGGTTCCAAGAGGTTAGACAAGGCAGGGAAAATCATTCGAATGATTGCTCACATTTACAGAGCACCTAACCATGGGCAAAGCACTTTTACATACATTATTTCACTTGAGCCTCATGATAACCCTCTGAGCTAGGTGGGGCAGGTATCATTATCCTCATTTTACTGATAAGGAGAAAAAACAACAACTAGACAGCATAAAACTGATGCCCAGAAAAGGGGAAAACACACCCAAGAAAACACACCAGCTAATCGGTGGCAAAGTTAAGACTTGGTCCCAGGTCTTCTGATTTCAGTAGTTGGTTTGTTTTCCCCCCAAGATTCCAAGGGTTCCCCACAGAGGGTTTTGGAAAGGCAGCCCCAAAGATTGTGGGGACATATCTCAGCAGGGAAGGCTTAAAATACAATAAGACTTTTTTAGTCAATAGATGCAAAGACTAGATGCAATATGGGTCCCGGTGCAAGATAAGGACACAATAGAATTTACCAATCTCACCCTTTTAGTGTCACATATCCTCTGTACCATGAAAATGAGCTCTTAAAAAAGAGAGGAAATCCAATTAAAATCAGCAAACATTTATTCAGCATCTCCTGGGTAATGGTGACCATGCTTAGCACTGGGGGTACAGAAAAGAAAAAAACAACTCAGACTCCATTCTCAGGGAACTCACAGCCTATAGATTTTTTTCACAAAGATGAAAAATCTGCTGGGTATTAACATCAAGTGAGGCATTAAGCAGTGGGATATGTTAGTCAAAGCTGATCACCAATGGAAGATAGATCCCTAAGGTCCAAATGAGACAATTACTTCTTTCTCTAACTAGTCTTTTCCCGTGATGACATCACACAAATTACATCAAGGCCCAGAAGGTGACAATATCCCCTCAGTGTAATGCACAGCAGCATTAAAGTGATCAGTCTAGCCATTCGCCTTAGAAAAACCAAATGGAGGGAAAAATCCATGTTGTTCATCCTGTGAGACACAATTAGACAAACAGCCCAGGAAATTGGTCCATCAACACGTATGTCTTGGACAAGTGCTATACATGACTAGAGAGCAGGAACAGAATAGGAGGAGATCAGGCTTCCCACATCTTCCATGATACCAAATTCTGTCACTGCTAACATGGCAACACCAGTCAATGTTGTCCCGGTGATGGACAGCTTATCAAGCTACTGCCCTGTGGAACATAAAATGTGGCTTGGATGGCTGCAAGTTATGGAACACCACGTGTTTAGAACAACTGAGATAAACCAAAGAACGGGGAAAGATCCATGACAAGTGTAAGCAGGCTGCTTCAATTTATTACCAATGAGGACTTGTATGCAAGAAGCACCATGGCCCTAAAAGGGGGGCAGCTAGGTGATGCAGTGGATAGAGCACTAACCCTGGAGTCAGGAGAATCTGAGTTCAAATCTGGCCTCAGACACTTACTAGCTGTGTGGCCCTGGGCAAGTCACTTAACCCTGATTGCCTAAACACACACACACACACACACACACAGGGACATGTATGATTTTTTTTTAAAAAAAAAGGAGATGGGACAGTTGCGTAGCATAAATGAGAGATGAGAGATAAGACTCTGTAGTGTTCTCAAGATATTAAAGGAACCTTAGGAAGATATTCCATAGGTTTTCTAGATCTTCTCTGGGGTCTAGAACAAGGGAAATGCTGGGCTTGCTCCATTGTGCCCTAGTTTGTACTGTGGTCAGCTCTGGGTGCCATACTATCAGAATGAAATCAATAAGCTAATGAGTTTCCAGTGGAAGGAACTCAAGATGGCGAAGACACTTGAAACCACACCATATAAAAGACATTTGAAGGAACTGGGATCGTTTAGTCTGGAGAAGACTTCAAATTGCGTATAAATCTCTGTGTGTGTGTGTGTGTGTGGTGTGTGTGTGTGTGTGTGTGTGTCTAAGATCACCCTTCAAAAAAAACTAAAGGGCTATTACAGGAAAAAGGGATGAAGCATAGTCTGCTTGGCCATGAGGAGAAGGACTAAGGTCATAGTTGAGAAGCGACAGAAAGGTTCAGTAAAAGTTCTTAGTAGTTGGAGCTGTCCACGCTTGGTACCTAATGAGCTCCCCGTTTTGGGAGGTGCTTAATTGGAGGCTACACAATCACTGGATAGTTGACCTAGGTCTTTTCCAACTCTGGGATCCTATAATTTTATGATTTAGGGTAAAAAAAAAGAAAGAAAGAAAGAAAGAAAGAAAGAAAGAAAGAAAGAAAGAAAGAAAGAAAGAAAGAAAGAAAGAAAGAAAGAAAGAAAGAAAGAAAGAAAAAACATAGGTGAGAAGTGCACAGATCCAGGGGGCATGAGGGCTGGGTAGGGGGTGGAGAGGAGCAGGAAAGGGTTTCCTCTTGCCTCACCAGAGAGATCGCCTGCATCAGTGAAATCATGGCTTTTTAAGAGTGTCAGAAGATCCAAGACAATTCCCAAGCACTCGTGATGAAAAATGCTACCCACCTCCAGAGACAGAACTGATGAACACAGCACAAATTGAAGCATCATTTTTTAACTTTCTTTATTTTCTTGCCTTCTTTTTCTTTTTGCAACATGGCTAATGGAAATATTTTGCATGATTTCAGTTATATCACTGATATGATACTGCTTGACTTCTCAATGGATGGCAGAGAGGCTGAAAAGAGAGAATTTGGAACTCAATTTTTTTTAAATTAATGTTTAAAACAAATATATAATGAGGTTTTGTTTTCTTTTTTTAAGGATCAGAAGATAACCAGTTTGACTCTGACATCATTTGAATCTGATTTCAGCCAAACTCTTTCCTGCTAGAGAGGGGACAGAATTTTGCCCTAAGCAGAACTGCAGGTGTGAGAAGGGCTGTGCACCATGCAATGAGTGGCCAAGAGAGACCACGCTGATTCAGTCCCTGGAGGTCTTCGAGAAGAGATGAGGAAGTGATGAGAGATTTTAGAGCAAGGGTGACCAAGCCAAGGCATGTGTGCCAAAGGTCACAGAGGCTAATTTTGGCAGCTCTGGACTTTGGGTCAGAAGACTTGCTGGAGCCCCAGGTCTGAGTGACTTCATAGCTGAGTGACCATGGACAAATCACTTCATTTCTCTAGCTTGTGTTTCTTTAACTGGAAAACGAGGCCACTTACCATTCAGGGAGCTGCACGCTTTCAGTTATTCGATTTATTATGGACTCTTGGCTTACAGATTCTTCTGACAGGGTGTTGGGTATGAATTTTTAAGGTTCTTTCAAGTTCTAAGATTCAAAAATTATTTAAGAAACTTTCAACTGGGTAGTGAGAAGTATCATGGTACAACGGACATAGCCCTGACCTTGGAGTCAGAAAGACCTGGATTTAAATCCCACTTTCAGCTCCACAGAAGGAAATTTTCCTAGCAATTCTTATTACTATCAAGGATAGCAGCATGAGGCAGGTAGGTGGTACAGTGGACAAAGTGGTGGACAGGAAGACCTGAGTTCAAATCCAGCCTCAGACACTTATTAGCTATATAACTCCAGGGTAAGTCACTTAACCCTGTTTGCCTCAGTTTCCTCAACTGTAAAATTTTTGCCTCAACTGCAAAATGAAAATAATAGTACCTACTTCCCAGGATTATTATAAGGATAAAATAAGATATATGTAAAGTACTTTGCAAATCTTAAAGCATTATACAAATGCTAGCTATTATCATTATCCCTCTAGTTCCCTAGCCAAGGGCAGCTAGGTGGTATAGTGGACAGAGTGCCAGGCCTAGAGTCAGGAAGACTCATCTTCATGAGTTCAAATCTGCCCTCAGATACTTAGTAGCTGTGTGACCCTGGGCAAGTCATTTAACTCTATTTGTCTCAGTTTCCTCATTTATAAAATGAACTGGAGAAGGAAATGGCAAGCTACTCCAGTATCTTTGCCAAGAAAAACTCCCAAAGGGGTCATGAAGAGTCAGACACAACTGAATAGTGACAACAAAGTTACCCGGACACACAACCTAGGTGTCATCCTTGACTATGAAATCTCCCTTCTCATATCCAATCAATTGCCTTTCCTGTATACTCCTCTCCTCTGCACTTCATTGTG